CGTCTAACGACCGACGGCTGGGCTGGTTTGTCTTGGCACTGAAAATTATTGTGTAATGTGAATGCATTCTGGGCCATCCATCCATCGCTCGGATCTGCTTCTGCTACCCACAAGCCTATGGTTGGCAAATTACACGATACAAGATCATCTATGTCGGTGTCGCTGCACTATATTATAAATGAATTGTCTTTACTTGAAAAACTGGACCAGGTCGCCTCTTAGTTGGTCCGGTGGATAACCAATTTATTCGGTCTGGACCAATGAGTTAGTGGGCCTAATTAGAATGCTTTTGCCCATCCATTGTCTCCTCGTTGCAATCATGGGGATACTATTCAATTCTCCTCAGCTCTGTTTGTTTGAACTTTGCACTGCAAATCTGAACTAAATAAAAATTTTATATCCCATTCAATTTTGCATCTGTTTGTTTCTAATTATGATTTGCACACTATTTGATATATTAACAGAACAAACTTAGCATTTCAAAAACTGATGCAAATTTTGCATCTTCCCATGTATCTTTCTACCTCTCTTTTGGTGTTGGTTATTAATAAATACTTAAGGCAGTCAGCCCTCCACGTAGAGTAAAGCTTGCGATTTGAAAAAGTCATAATATTATGTTATTTGTCTTAAGCTTAACTAACTGCTGGCTCTGTACTTCATTTGGGAGGTCACAGCACATGTCTTCTCCTTGAGAGGTGGCTGCAGACAATAAAAGAGGAGGGAGGAAAATGCCTAGCAACTTCAGTGTAATAAGTTTTTGAAGCCTTGACAGGTTGATATGAAAGACCCATTTTGGATTTTGGGGTGCTTAATTAATTAATGTCCCTTGCAAGCTACTGAAACCTGGAACTGGACATTATAGAAAAGGTCAAGGAAACAGAAATCGATCCAATGGTTTTCGTGTTCCTGACACACGTATTCACTGTATGCCTGTCTTTATATGATGTCTGGATTTAACTTGAATCCATGGTTCATCTGATAAAAAACAAGTAAAATAGTCCTCTCTCTATATATGACTCTTTCTCAATCTTCCATGAACTTGACAAAAGTTAGTAGGGGTTTTGAAATTGTAATAGTACTTTTCTTTGATTTTTGTGTGATTGCAAAGGTTTTTAAAACCGGACTGGATAGAGAATCGTTTTGAGACTGATTCTTTGGTTGAACGGTCTGATCGTCCAGTTTGAATGGATTACCCATTTTATCTTTAAAAATTAAAAAAATAATAAAAAAATGGCTAAAACTATTATCCGAGTCGACAGTTCGATGGTTTGACCACCCAGGTCAGTAGGTCACTGATCAAATCAATGATTTTTGGCCAAGAAGCAGCTTTAGAGTGAAAGGGAACTGATTACCTGATCAATTCTCGAGTTTTTTGGTCCAATCCGATTTTAAAAATCATGATAGTTCCCCTAGGTTTTGCCTTAATTGCTCTATGAATGTTGAGTTAGTATCATGCATGTATCTATCAGTGGTTTGCGATGCATAAAAATTCATAACTTAACTAACCGAGGACTGGTTTGTTGATGTGTTAGCTGGTTTGTTATGGTGCTATTAAACTCTTTTCCTCTTCATCACCAAGTTGATGCATGTAGTATAACACTAGTACATGCAAAAGAAGAAAAAAAAAATTAGTAAAATCACTTAAGCCTGGTGTCATTGCGGTGCAATTTCATTTGCACCGCTACAAAAATAAGAGAATGTATATTCTGATTTATGTTTATTTTATTTTTGTCTGTTTGCAGCACGGATAAAGTAAGGCAAAACCTAGAGCAAAATAAATTGAAAGCCAAAACAGAGGTGGACCAGAATTTGCATTTTTTTTTCATTGGCACTTTCATGTATCTGCACTGGTGCAAATGAAGTTGCACTGCAAACAAACATGACGACCTTAGATTTCAAGCACTTTTTGCAAATAAGCTCACTCCTAGTTTTGCAAAATAATCTTCCATAAATTGTACCATTTAGGGGCTGTTTGCCGGTATGCGTGATTTTGTTTTCTAAATGTGACAATTGTCTTTATTTTGAAGTTCTGTAATACAATAAATTGTTTCAAAGGATCATAAAGTTAAACTTAATGAGATTCCTGGTCATTGGGATGGTCAAATAAAAAGCAGGTTTTGTTTTAGAATTTACTTTGTTATTAAAAGGATAAAAAGCAGGTCTTAACTCCTTTCATACATACAGTGGAGGGCAAATCACCGGCCATAAGGTAGACAGAATGTCGCCACTCGCCACTATCTTTTCCTTTGTAATCCAAAGAAAGATGTTGTTTAAAGAGAACAATTTTGTACCGAATAAGAAGATTCGGGATAATAAAGGCCGGATACAGGAGTAAGAGAATAAATCAGGTTTGTTTCTAGTTAAATAACCCACTGCTATAGAAGAATGGCAGAAGAATGGGGGCATGCGCCCATGAAAATGTGACCTCTTCAAAGCCTTTTGTGTTGGGTTTTTTTATTAATTTGATTCAGAAAATTAAATTAGATTTCACTTTTTATTAGAGGATATAAGCCAACTTTCTAATTTTCAATTAAGAAATAACACAAAGAATAAAGAACTAAGAAACATACAAACACGATTTTAAAGTTTTGCTTTTTCTTTTCTTTTTTTTTTTTGAACTTAAAGGCATATTCATTCAACTTCCGACAAGATTACATCCGAGAATGGAGTATCGACTTTACAAATGAAGAGGTGATACCCAGGTTCTGGACACATGATACCGATTATCATGAAGTATCGATTTTGTGAGCTAATCTATTACAACCTGGAGATGTAAAAAGTACTATAGCTTGAGGAAAAACATGACAGCAGAGATCTGCACTCAAGGAGGGTATATGTGGGAACTTTATGTATGATTTTACTTTGAATAAACCAAAGTTTTATTTAGCCCCCTTTTGAGTAAGAGAGTTTATAGATAAGAGGTATATTTTCAAAATGGGGAGAAAAAAGTTTAAGGGTGGAAAGAAAAAAGTTGGAGGTTTAAGAATTGGAAGCAAGTGATTGGTGTAGGAAAAAGATAAAGGCTCAATTTGGGAAAGTGTAAATACAAATGTTCACAATGAAAAATGTTGCTGCCAAGGATGGGCCGAGGGCAACAAGGTAAGTTCACTTCCTTAACCGAAGCCAATGTGTCCAATCTTGAGAGCAAGAGAATATACATCAAAAGCCTCGGGTGTTATCCCAAGGGCGGAGACTCTGACGGTTAAGTTAATCAATTATGTAAGAGGATTTGAATGAGGTTCAAGGTGAGAGCTCACTCGAAAGCAAAGGAGCTAAAGAGAAGGAGTGAGCAAGGTGCTTTACCTGGAGAGGGGCTCCTCTATTTATACTTGACTTTGCCTTGGGAGTGGTTAGAGGTTGTTGGTAACGGGCAACCAGAATTGCATCCGGCCAATGCCACATGGTTTCATCCTAAGTCCTACCACATGCGCTTACATTGAAAAACATTGCATTTGTATTAATATACGGTTTAGAAATAACTTATTCAAGATTTTGCGCTATACATATTAGTATTTGAACTCTTTCCAAACCCAACCTTTATAAAAAAATTAAAAAAAAAATTTGAGAAGATATAAATCCCTATGAAAAATCTGATGTGGAAAATGTATAATATATCAAAAGAATTTTGATCAATCAAAATCCATTCATGAATTTTGATAAATAACACTTGATTGGCTATCACATTAATGATTCTAATCGACTATTCAGAAGTTTTATAGTTGAACCCAAATCCTTAATCTTACGTATGGCTTACATTTTACAAATTTTTAAAATATACATGCACATACACATAAAAAAAACAATAAGAAATTAAATGAGTGGAGACCTTTTAAATTTGTAATACATACGCATTGCAATTTGATGGCCCATAAGATTAGCCTGACACGTTATTTAACTACATTACATCCAAAGCAAAAGGTCCGGTCCCAACCTGTTGGCCCCACCCATGACAACCCAAGAAAGACCAAAATAAAGGACAAATTGGACAAGAAGAGTAGAAGACACAGGGTAAATATTACCTCGAGCTGGTTGACATGTATTGTGTTCCTGAATTACCTTCAGCCTCACTCTTCCTTTTATTGCAGCTTACAAATTGCAACTTCGTTTTCACCTTCTCATGTCTCTTTCGCATTGAGTGATCACCATAGCTGATTTACCATCGTGTCGCTATCCTGGTTTTTCTGTATGCATTTCTCCCATTCTTTTGACATCTTTCAAGGAATTTTCAAAAATATTCGGGTGTGTTGGATTTAGAATTTGGGACTCAAAATAGAAGATGTCACGTTCTTATGCCTAGTTTGTTTGCAATGCAATTTCATTTGTACGGTTGCAAGTAGAGGCGCATCGGTAGTTGTTTTTTAATTTTTTTTTAAATCTAATTCAGAGGAGTCAGTTTAAGGTAGAAATGTAAACACTCGGAACCGGTCAAGACCCCGAAACACCCCCTGTAAGAACATATCGGGAAGCCCCCGATACGTATCAATATTTTGAACCTTGGTTGCATGGTTCACATTTGCACTCCCATACATTTGTATTTTGTACTAATGCAAATGAAATTACACTGGAATCAAACAAGCCAAATCGTGGGCAGATCAGGGATGACCTCCACATACTCGAGTGGATTAGGAATCAATGAATCATCAGGGGAAAAGGCCATTATGAAAATCCCTCATAATTTGAATTCAGAAGTTTACAATTCTACACCTTCATTCCAAGTTGCAAAACACTGCATTCAAACTGCATTATTTGCTTAGTGACTAAATAGTAAATACCCACTTCTTTGGATCTCCAACATCGCCTGCATTTCTTAAACAATTGTGCATCGTCCAAATGAGTTTCATGCATCCTAAGACCATTTACACCAAAAAGTAATTGATTACTTGATGCTTCAACAACTGGAGCACACAATCCTCTGATATACCTTGAGGTTGAGGTCTTTATTTGTTACTGTGGTTACTTTTGTTTATGTGCCCATAGACTGCAGAAGACATTGCGCAGAATTGAAGGTAATCAAGGAAAAACTGATACAGCCTTTAGTAGCTGCTTTATATATCTGCATAAAAATCATCTATAACAGTTCGAACTATCAAGGGTATTCTTACTACATGTATACCATCTTCCCATGAAAGACTTCCAAAGGAGTATCTCCCTTGCACACTTAGTTGGGATTGGAAAGTCACCTTGAATCTTAGCTGTTTGGCCGTAGAATTGAAGGATAAAACTGATGGATTAACATGCACAATCACACCTGGGGGAGCCTTAACATGTACAGAATACACAGAATTGACTGGACCTACATTTGTTACCGTTCTTGATACTGCCAAGCTCTTCTTCAGTTCTGGAATGGAGATGGAAGGTAGATTCAGGTCTGCTAGTGACTTGGATGTTTTACTGCATACAGTGGGATGCCTTGTCATTAGGCTGACAGAAGAGTCATTATAGCCCATTAAACAAAGGAAGCGTACATGGTCTGTGATTCCCATGTCATATATGAGACCAGGATCTGCAGCTTTATTAGGGTCTACGTGACCACCTCCATAGTCAAATGGGTCAGCCTGCTTGTGTGGGGATCCCTCGGCTACTGCACTTTGACCATATTTATCTTTTGTAGAAGCTAGTGAGAAAGAGATGGACAGAAAGGAGAATAAGAGAAGTCCCACCAAATACGAAATTCCGCTTCAGGTACAAATCCTTCAAAAACTAAAATTGAAATTGCTAGCAAATTTATGCTTTTACCTGTGGTTACCAATGCAGATTTTATTGCAGCAGGGCTCCAGTTGGGATGCATTGATTTGAGAAGAGCGACAATACCAGATACATGAGGACAAGACATGGAGGTTCCTGATTCAATTTTGAATTTAAGTGAAGGCTGTTTGTGTCGATGTACACCAGGTGACAGAGAGGAAGCAGGTGACCATGAGGCTAAGATATTAACTCCAGGTGCAGCAATATCAGGCTGTAGGACACATCCAGATGCTAAGTGAAAGAGTAAAGAACAAGAAGATAATTCTAAAAGCAAAGAGCAGCACCTTCAACACTGAGGGAGAAATGGAACTTGGTCCTCGAGATGAAAAGAATGCTACTTCTGGGGAAATTTGTCTCCCAAGAGACGTCGTTGTAAGGCTAAACCTGACTACTGGATTTCTGTGACATAAACAAATCACCAATACATTAAATTGGTATTCCACTAAGATAGAAAGCTTAATGTTAGCCCTTAAATACTTCAATGTTAAAAGAATACCTTCTTTCTGATGTGCCACTAACAAACATAAAACACATACAGGTGTTACATCTGAGGTGTCCATTTATATTTGAGGGGCAAAAAGGAAACTATCAGGCATTGTAAACTGATAGGATTTTGAGATGGAAGTTCTCTCTGTGATCAGGGAGGCATAAGGCATTGGGGTTAAGCAAAAATACAAGACATGGAAATTGGGTTGCAAACAAACTGTTGGAAAATAATCTCCAATATTTTGTACATAATCAGATGGAGGCATGAGTGAAGTATGGTCATTTGGTGTCCCGCTCACTACCTCAATGAATTTAGAAACATTTAGGCAGGGCTCAGTGTGCATATTTGATGGATTGTTGGAAAATTGGTTATATGGCTGATCAAAAGGCCACTACTCAGTGTTCATTCTAACTATCGTGGCTCTTGGGAAGGGTGGACTGGATTGGCATTTTTTCCACAAAGTGGCCACTCTCAGACTCAAACTCGTGTTTATATGACTGATAATCTTGCTAAATATGGAATTGGCATAGCTCCATTTAGTGACACTTCTCTATCTTCATAGTCTTTTGTAGTGGCTGAGATGTATGTTTATAGATCTTGTATATCTTGATACATCTAAAATACATATTATCTTTTTGATATTTAATACAGTCAATATAGTTATCTATAACTTAAAAAAGTACTGGTCCTAACAGGAATCACCTGGTGCTTTCTATGTATGTCAGCACAGATGTTCCTATAGTATAATCAACCTGGACACATGGAATTCCTGATGTAGAAGCAATATCCTTTGTTGGAAACTGAGCAAAGATGACACCAACACCCCTAACTCTTGCTACAGTTTTTGTTGCAATAGAAGCTGACCCCTTTAACCGAGATTGGAAACATAGAACCACCTTTCCTCTTGCTAAAGTGGCATTCAGAGATCCTGCATCACAACTCCTGTAGATGGGGTGATTCAGGGCAGATAACATAAGACTCAGCTAACAGAAAAGGCAGCTGCAAAACATGTTCTACCTTGCTTTGTCTTCATCAGAATCGTTGGAAGCAATGCTTTCTCCATACACTATTGGATAGAACTTGTTCACATGCTTTTCTGTAAGCAAAGCTTGACCCTGTATGAGGAAAAATATTTCTGAGGTCCCGATAGCACATTATGAAAGTCTTAATTATTATATATGAACAAATAAACCTAAAATATGTATATAACTTACCAAACATATATGTAGAAATTTGAAAACATTATGTGTTCAAATTTCAAATAACTCCCCTCAACTACTTAACCAAGCCATTTATATGTTTATAGAATTCCACAATCCTAAATCATTGTTATACACATGATAATATGATTCAATACCAAGTGGTTGAAAGGCTGCAGGCAAGCATTGCAATAATGCTGTGTTTGGTTTGACAGAAAATTGAGGGAAAGTTGTCTTAGTTTTGGAAGAGTGCAAAAACAAATAACAGTGTAAAACCTTAGATATGGTATTATAAACATTGTATTTGTACTGTGCATATTTGTATCTGCACTACCCAAACTAAGCCTAGTAATTTCACAAAATTTGTTAAGAAATTCCCCTCAACTTTCTTATTTTCTATCAAACCAAACATAACCAAGTTAAAATGAATAGTCATGCATACAATTCTAGTGCTGGCATGAAGCATTAGAAAGGGAATGGGAAAATACCACAAGACTTAGGTTGTTCCCTAGGATAATTGTTGTAGGGAAAGATCGATCTATTGTGCTCGCTGCAACAGTTATAATCCAGGGAGCAGTATTTATTACTGTCTGCGAGGAAGGACCAGAGTTTCCCCCAGAGCAAACTACAGGGATCCCTTTAGCCACCACATGGAAGGAACCAATGGCCAAAGCATCCTCAATGTATGGAGAAAGTGGTGGTGGTGAGCCAAGAGATACTGAAAGCACATCCACCCCATCAGAAATGGCATCATCAAAAGCAGCAAGAAGGTCAGCAGAACTGCAGCCACCGGTAGACCAGCATACTTTGTATATAGATAACCTAGCAGCTGGAGCACCTCCTCTTGCCAGGCCTTGAGCTAGACCCATAAAGCTAGCATTTCCCACCAGAGCCCCAGCTGCAGTAGATGAGGTGTGAGTACCATGCCCCACTGCATCCCGAGGAGACAAAAATTCAACATCACCACTTGTATTTAGCTTTCCAAATTCAGCTGCATATCCTTTGATGTACCAACGTGCACCAATAACTTTCCTGCATAAAAGAAACCACATACCTAATGACTGAAGACTCCAAATAGCAAACTCAATTTGAAAAAAAAAATGATTCCTTGAATTAGTAATTGTTGGTTCTTGAGAATTAATAGAATGCTTTAAAAAATTATTAGCAGTTAAATCCCAGTCTGACCACATTTTTTACAATTGTAGCAAAACTTGGAAAATATCTCAATCGGTAATTGCAAGGTAATACAAACACCTAAATGAATAGATGAATTTCAACAGGGTCCTACAACCTTTAAGAATACCTAGAGAATTTGCATCCAAGACAGTGTGGTAATCTGCCCATGAGACACTGTATTCTTGTCAAAAAAACTTGGCTGAACTCTAAAGTCAATCATGGCCACCAACTTATTTCCATAAAACCTGGCTCAATCACTTACTTTGTCTGATAAGTATTCTTAATGTTTTAGAGGAAATCTAGACTTAAAGCATAACAAATTGCCAATCAGATATCAGTGCTTCCCCAGACTGCAAAGGGTACGGGATAATATTCCATCAACCGTCATCTTGTCACAGTAAAAGCATGCCAAAGTATGAAAGCAGTATTACAGTCTGATGAGAATTGAGGGAAGTTAAGAACTTCAACCTATCTCATCATGTCAGCAGAGGATCCCAAGCATATGAAGAAATGCTTTCCAGTCATTGGCTGGATACTACCCAGATGAAGATAATATTAGTCCAATTGTCCATCTCTAAGTTCTGATTATGAACATTTTCATATTAGACATGTCAAGCAAACCAGCAGAGAGGTCATCATACAGGAAAGGAACACAATCATAATTCAATTTTTTTGGTGCTAAAATAGGATAATGAAACGCATAGAAGTGGGATCCTCGGTACATATAGGCTGCTTAAAGAATATTTAGAATTACTGTCCAACTGATATTCAAACTAGTAGTAAAAACAACAGCAGAAGTAGAAACAACAACTTAGATATATAAATGGATAGATCAACGGTAAAGTTAACAATGTGAAGAATGCTAGCAAATGCAATAACATTGATATCATTCGGGAAAGAAACAAGATGAAACTTTGTTAACCTGTTGCAATTGGAAGCATTGAATTCCTCTCCTTCCTGACACACCCCATTCCATCGAGACGGAACCTCTCCCATGCCATCATCTTTGAAGCTTTCAGACTCGGGCCAGATTCCTTCGCAACAAACGGCAATTCAAATATGAATATAAATAAACTCAACCCCACCCCCGGTTTCCATTTATCAGAAGAAAAAACAGCAGAAACAAGCATACCCGTATCGAGGACGCCAATAATTGAGTCATAACCCGATTGACTCCTTGAAAGGATCCCATCCATTATCTCAGGCTTCAATTGCAGAAAATCCCAACTTCTGGTCGTATGCACACGAAGAATACGGTTTGGAATAACACGAACAACTCCGGGGAAATCTACATTTACTTTTTGTTTCTTCCCATTTAGCAAAAGCAAATCACATTAGCAAAACATAAATAGTTCAGTTTACCAACAGACCTGCAATAAGCTTAGCTTGAGACTGAGTTAGCAGAGCAGCAAACCCTGAAAATCCATGCTTGTAACTATATAGAATAGACTCCCTCGCAGCTTGTTTGCTACAAATGAAACAAGATTCAAATGGCATGAAGAGATTTAATTAGGTTCTTTTATTGTCTAAAAATCAAAATAAATAAATCCATTAGTACCAAATTTTCTTTGGAAAGGATTCCATTTAACACTAAAGCGGCTAAAAGTTGAACGTTTTTATGGAACTCAACCTCCTAAAAACGCAGATACAATGAAAAGAAAATATTTTTCAGCGATTGAAGGTGGAACCTTCCGAGCAGAGTGGAAAGAATTTCATGGTGCGAGTCTTGGGTAAGTTGATAATCATGATGGCGTCTTTCTCCCATGTAAACAATGTGAACCTTCAGCAATGAAGACCCAAATACAAGGCATTGTTAACGAAATTGAAACAGAGCAAATAAAGGAGATTAATCCAAAAGAAAGAAAGAGAGCAGCTCACATTGCTCGCAGAGATAAGGAGGAAGATGAAGCGTTGCAGTAACAGAGGAAGAACAAGTAGAAGGCGGCATGAAGAAGCCATGTCTACTCTTTGTCTCGTGCTCACGGGGGTAATGAGAGATGAATGAAGAAAGCTTTATATAAATCTGTAGGTGAAAGTTGAAACCAGAGAGAAGAACGAGAAAGGTAGTTGACAAGACAGAAGTTGAAGAAGCAAAGGAAACTGTGTGTGGGAGGGGTCCACATCGAAACCTGCTCCTCTGGAGCAGAGAGCACTGCTAATGGTGCGCAAAAATCGATTGGGTCAGGTGTCTTTTAGTGGTATGGTTAGTGGGGTTTTTCATCGGTCCCGTCACTACCGGCCTCGTGAGGACTGGAGAGAGAGAGAGAGAGAGAGAGAGAAGAAGAAGAAGAAGAAGAGGAGCATTAACGCAAGAGTCAGTAAGCGACAGAGGAAAGAAAAAAGAAAGAGGGAATTCGAAAAACCAATGAAAGAAAAAGGATGAAGAATATATCGGTATCTGTTGCGGAATCTCGGAGAGAGATTTTTAATAATACTAAGTCTCTATAATAATAAATTAATAGATTTTTTTTCTGGTAAACAACAGATTAATAGATTGAAACCGTTGCATTACCATAAATGGAACGACAACAGTCGCGACAAGAGAGGATGAGCCATAAGAGAGCGTGAACGATGACATATGACGAGATCTTCACCTCTTTCTCCTCCCTCTCTGGTTTTCTGCTTTCGAATTTGATTAATGCCATCATCTTGTTAATAATGTTAGACCCCGTCCAAGGTCCAACCCCAGCCCAGACTACTGGGGTGATGGGGTCTGTGTCATATCCACACATCTGTCTCTCTCAGCAAAAAGATTTCAATGGGTCATTGTCTCATGGATTTAACCCTGTCACCCTGTGGAATGCAGAAGTTCCGCATTGAACATATTTCTACTATTTCAATCTTCTCATCGTAGTGCGATAATCATTTATCCCAGACCAGAATGAATGACTCACCGAGGTCCAAACTCCAAACTCCGAAGTGGGTTTGAATGTTTGATCATCTAGAAACCCCACCCCCACCCCAAGTGGGGTTGCCAAAAACTATCTGGTACCATTACCAACAAACAATTTCTCTAGCGTCACTGATTCGAATTTCCACCACTATGTTTATCTTTCTTCACCGGTCTCAGTAAAGTGATAATCTCAACAATGGGACTTTGGCAAATGAATCGAACCCACCTATTTTTGACTTTGGTTCCTACTTGTTGCCTAGAAATATATCTTGGGCTATAAAACCTGCAATTGCTCGCTCTAGCAATAAAGCAAACAGTACAGTTGTGATTTTGCTTTTTTTTTTCGATTCACAAGAAAAGCTACAACCTACGACAACTACACCACTGACTATAACCAGATATATCCTCCCATAACAATTGACAATCTCAGTGGGAGTATCCAAAGAGTAGACCTTCTGAGTTTGGCTTACAGCACCTTTATCTAGCCTATCAGTACACACACTTATTTGCTTTGCTATGCATTGGTCATGTTCTCACCCTAGGAGACATCTTTTCACTTTTGGTGCCTTTGTCAATTGATCTTGGTCAATTTTCATTCCTTTAGTTTGTCTCTTGGCTATAATCAATGTCCCATTAATTTAATGATACATTGTTATTGATAAATGAAGAATCCTTTTTATAGATAAATAAACTAACTAGGGGGATGTTTGGAACCGTGGCTGTTTTTCAAAAAAACAGTGTTACATCAGATCCATATAGGTATTTTAGTAAACACCTATGTATCTCATTGTTTGGTTTAGCCGATTATTAAAAAATCGGGCATGTCTCAAAAATCGGGACTTCATTGATGCATGAAAAATCAGCTAATTTGGTGTTTCATGCATCGGTAAACCGTTTCCCCCAATGGTTAACTGATGTGTGTCCTATGTGATGCTTACCTATCAGCACATACATGAAAAATGGTGATGAAAATCACCTTACCAAACAGCATAGTGTTGCTCACTGCCCACGTGGTAGAAAAGTTTTTTTGTGAAAAACGGGTCTTAGAAGCATGGGCTTTTTTCTTTCTTGAAAATTGGTCCCAAAAAGCGCCCACACTTCCAAACAYCATGTAGGTGTTTGGCATCCGTGGGAACACAGGTGCTATGTATGTCTGAGTTGTAAGGRTGCTTATTTTCTRTTTGGAAACAGYATAGTGTTRCTCACTGCCCACGTGGTAGAAAAGTTTTTTTGTGAAAAACGGGTCTTAGAAGCATGKGCTTTTTTCTTTCTTGAAAATTGGTCCCAAAAAGCGCCCACACTTCCAAACAYCATGTAGGTGTTTGGCATCCGTGGGAACACAGGTGCTATGTATGTCTGAGTTGTAAGGRTGCTTATTTTCTRTTTGGAAACAGYATAGTGTTRCTCACTGCCCACGTGGTAGAAAAGTTTTTTTGTGAAAAACGGGTCTTAGAAGCATGTGCTTTTTTCTTTCTTGAAAATTGGTCCCAAAAAGCGCCCACACTTCCAAACAYCATGTAGGTGTTTGGCATCCGTGGGAACACAGGTGCTATGTATGTCTGAGTTGTAAGGGTGCTTATTTTCTGTTTGGAAACTGTGCTGCCAGTCTGCCACATAGGCTGCCACACTTTCCCAATTTCAAAGGTGTGGTCTGAATCAACTTTTTTTTGAAAAATGATACTAAATAAGGGCCCGTTTTCTGAAGCATCCATGCCAAACACCACTAAGATGATGTTTGATATCATTTGCTGATTATCAGAAAATCACCACTAAGTCAGCGCCACCAAATAGGAGTTTCTTCCGATGGATACTCAATTTTTGTTTGATTGAACTGAAAATGTTTGTCTTGGTTATGTAAAACCATTTTTTGGAGAAAACTTCAAAATGAGGCTTCTTACAATGACAAGATGTTTTCTCACCTTTTGGCTTGTGTTGCACCTAATGGTGCCTAGCTGTAATAAACAAATAATAAAAGAAATGCACCTGTTTATGAGTCTGGATTTGCTCCTTATACCTACCTTATAGCATATTTTAGCCATACATCAGGAACATCTCCCGTATTTAATATTCATGGGAAGATGTTCACAATACACGGTGGAGTGTATTTGTGAGATTGGTGTGAAGAACAGATCCAATTCCCCGATTATGTGTACAACATCAGCCACTTTCTCATTTTTCAAGGCCAATATTCCATGTAAAATGTTTCCTCATAAAATGGCAATATAACCAATCAGGGCCTAAGTAAATTGACTATAGAGAAAGCCGAAAGGTATAACAATGGATAAAGCATTATAATGCAGAACCATATTTAGAACTTGATATATGCAAAAGAAAAGAGCGCCCTTAGTCCATGGTTTTACATGCACCATTTGTCAAAACTTAGATATATTCAAAGCCTATGGAAAGAGCTTTGTTGTTTGGAAAATAAAAAATAAAAAAGACAGTACTGTCAATGGGTCGGTTCTACTCGAACCCAACCAACTGAGTTGAACTGAACCAAATTAACAATTATGGTTATATGATTTTGTCCCAGTTATTAATTGGGTCGGATCGGTCAGTTATAATAACATATAAAAGTTTTATAGTTTTATTGTACTTATTTAATTATTATATTTTATGTTTAACTGGATAAATTTGATAGATAATATATAAGATAATTTTGGTTAAAACTACTTGATTTAATATTAGCATATAAATAATTTATTATTTTACTTTTATTTTTATTGAATATATATTATCAAAAAACAAATTTTAAGTTGTTTACATAAATAATTATCTATGTCAATATAATCAAGTCTAATTGGGTCAGACCACATTAACCCAATTAATGATCGATATGGTTTTAGGTCTATTGTTTTGTCATGGTTAATAATTAGTTCAGGATTGGTATAGGCTGTCCCAAATCAGACCTGACCCGACCCATTAACTGCCCTAAAAACAGTTTGGACTGTTTTTAAAGTTTCATGTGGATGACACGTTATTATGAGTATGGGGTAAAAGAGTAATTCTAGGCAATATTCTTTTAATTAAGAGATTAGATAATCGAGCTTCAAAACAGCCAAAACTGTTTTCTTTTCAAACAATCAAGCCTTTTTTAACACTAGGATCTGCTGTGAACAATAGCAAGCGATCAGTTATGTGACCAATCACGAGTGGACATATGGAATGTGTACATTTGATACGTACCTTTAATATATCATTCCATGGGATGGAATACGAGTTCATACTAATTATGAGGGATGATGAGAGGGAATAATTTGAACTAAAAAGTATTATTTAATTTGCATTTTCAACCCTCACCAAAAAAAAAAAAAGAGAGAAAGAGAAATGAAAGCAAAAGGATATATCGAATAAAAGGATAAATGAATTACTTCTTTTTATAATTCGCAATTCTAGTATTATGACTAACATTTTGAATTTTGATTTAGAGTAAATAACAAAGAAGCCATGAACTTTAGACCGTCTATGGCCCTTCGAGCATTCTTAATCATCCACTCCAAAAAGCTCGATGTTCAATGTTATATGCACTTTACATTATCTTTGTGTTTATCTTTTTTATACTATTATCATTCAAGATTGTAATCATAAGCAGTTGAATCAATGAATTTGATTATGAGGCACTCCGCCTTATAACCTACTGACCTTCAAAAAATGTTATATGCATTTAATGACTGACATGGGGTGCTATCATTGATTCCACAGGCCACTACACAGCCATTGGCTTCAGCTAATCCATTTGTTTGTTCCAAGGGGCTACATAACGGGTCCCCCAAACACAACCCCTCCCCCCCCCAACCCAAGTGTCGGCAATTCGATTCCAATTCTCCACTACAATCAGCAGGAAACCTTACCAACAAATCGATTGGCATCATGCTCATGCTCCTCTTACTATCTAATTAGTAAGAATATAGAAGCTGTCAAAGCTTTTATTTTTAGGGGTAATTTGAGTACAGTCAGCCTCAAATTCATAATGTGATCGTACAATTTGGGTCAATGTCAAGGGTTGGGGTATTAAAAAATGAATTGTGAGGTGGAGTGGACTACAAAAAAGCCTTATTTTTATTTTTTTTAGTAAAGGTTGTCAAACCAAATAGTCCCCCTTTAAATTTTTTTGGGTTTTTACTGTTCAGTTTACTCACAGAAATCTTAGCTCCACTGTACAATTGGGATAGGTGCCAGCTCGGAATTGATGCCAATTCACGGGTGGGTATGGGTGTTATAAGTGGAGGTATTTGTAATTTTGAATTGTTGTAGGTTTGCAGTTGAATTGTTGTAATTTTGAATTCTAAGGTGGAGTACAGTCAACTTATCCCAATTTTTTTTTCACACACATATATCCACCTTTTTTTTTTGAACTTGATATCCTGAACTACCATGCTCCAATATATCAATCAAATCTTATATGGGACGACCAATGTACCAAGAGCAAACTTCTTTGTTATCTACATGGAATATATG